CCAGAACCGGCGCGGTAGTTTCTTCGTCGTCTCGAATTTCTTCGAGCTCTATCTTTCTCCCGCTAGTTGCGATGGAGAGAAATTCCTTCTCGAGGAAGACACCATTGCGAGCAACGAATACCTTCTTATCGATAGGGTGATAGAATGAATACCCTCGAGTTTCCTTTGGGTATCCCACGAAGAAACACTTATCAGACTTAGCGTCAAGCTTGCCATTCGTCATAAGACGTTTGACATAAGCCTCACAGCCCCAAATCTTTAAGTGTGACAGAACCGGGCATTTGCCTGTCCATAGCTGGTATGGTGTTCCTTCAACCGCCTTGGTTGGAACTTGGTTAAGAGTATATATTGCAGTGCTCAGCGCATACCCCCAGAATGATTCTGGTAGAGTCGAATGACCCATCATAGAACGAACCATGTCAAACAGGTTTCGATTCCTCCTTTGAGAGACACCATTCCATTGTGGAGTCCCAGGAGGTGTGAGTTGGGATAAAATCCCATGCTCTCTAAGATAGTCATCGAACTCACCACTCAAGTATTCTCCACCTCGATCGGATCGTAGTGTTTTAATACTTTTGCCAAGTTGTTTTTCAACTTCATTCCTGAATTCTTTAAACATTTCAAAGGATTCTGACTTGTGTTTCATGAGATACACATAGCCATATCTACTGAGGTCATCAGTATATGTAATGAAGTATGAATAACCACCTCGTGCAGTTGTATTGAAAAGCCCGCACACATCACTATGAATGAGTGCCAGAAGATCACCAGCTCTTTCACCGTGTCCGGTGAAAGGAGATTTGGTCATCTTACCCAATAAACAAGATTCGCATGTGTCATATGATTCAAGATCAAATGACTCCAGCATTCCCGACCGATGTAGCTTGGATATGCATTTCTCGTTTATATGGCCTAACCTACAATGCCATAGGTATGTTTGGTTCAAACCGTTCGGTTTGTTCCTCTTGGCTGATATGTTATAGACAGGCATGTCCAAGTCAAGGACATATAACCCATTGGTCATGTTGGCATTAGCATAGAAAACATTCTTTCTGTAAACGGAAAGGGACTTGTCTTTAATAGAAATGATGAAACCACTCTTATCAAGACATGAAACAGAAATAATGTTTCTGCTAATTGCAGGAACGTACAAGCAATCGTTTAATTCCAACATTAGACCACTAGGCAAGACTAAACTATAAGTTCCGATTGCCAAAGCTGCAACAGGTGCACCATTGCCGACTCGGAGTTCAATCTCGCCTCGAGCTAACCGTCTACTCTGCTTCAGTCCCTGCATGGTAGTACAGATATGAGACCCACATCCAGTATCTAGTACCCATGATGAAGATATAGACATGTTAACTTCTATAACATACACCTCAGAAGAAATGGTCGTACCTTCCTTCTTCTTGGTTGCGAGGTATGTCTTGCAGTTTCTTCTCCAGTGGCCTGCCTTACCACAGTGATGACATTTGCCCTTTGCAACTCCTCCTATGGGTTTCTGGGTTGCAGATGAAGTGGACTTCGATTTAGGCTTTCCGACCGTCCTAGCCTTAATCTTAATCCCCTTCTTCGGCTTCCCCTTTCCGCCTTGGACCAT